AAAAACTGAATGAATTAAAGTGCAAATGGCAAATGCATCCTTCTGTGGAAACATTACCCAAATTTCGCCTTTCCATTTTCTCGGCAACCTGGCTCTATAGAAAAGAGCCACATCAACGTGTGTTGGCTTCAGTGTAGCTCAGCATGCTCTGTGGGTCTGGACTGAGATCTGTAGGTTAAACTACAGTAACATCTCTGTTCAACTAGTCCTTTTCTATCTAATTGTGTGTACTCGTGCGTGCGTGCATTAACAGCAGTTAAGATTTGTAAATCATCAGCTGAGTCCCACAAAGTATATAGACATATATATGACGCACGTCTAACATTATTCCTCAAATATTTTCCCAAAATAAATCTTCCAACACTAATCAATCCTGGCAGATGCGTCATAAAAATATTCCTTTCAGCAAGAGTTGAAGAAGGAGGTAACATCGAAACGGAGGTTAGACCTCAATCCACCTTTTCAGATTTTTTCCAGATAATATCTACAGATCAGTCTGGTAGAGAAAAATGTCTGACATGAATGGGCTGCTTATATATGTTATTGTATCTATGGAGATGATGATGGATTTTCATTCTGAGCTGTTATATGACAAGTTATCCTTCCTTCATCAGTTCGGTGTAATGTGTTAAAGCTACGCATGAAAATCTGTCATTTCACCCATTGTCCTCAGTGAAGCTGGGATGGGCAGTAATGGATAAGATAAGGCTCAGCTTCCAGGATTTGTATCAGATGACCTGTGAAACTTTAGGTTTTGCTGTGTCAGAATTTTGAATGAAATAAATATCAATTTATAATGGAAAAACTTTAAAACAAGCAGTAAACAGGGCTGAACACTGGTCTGCTGTCTGTCTAGCTCTGCTAAATTCAACACTCCATAATTGGCTTTTGGGGTTACTTTACTTTACTGGGTTCTAGTTAAAGGACCCTTACATTTCTTTAAGCTCTTGATGCCAACTGCTGCCAACTCCTGCAGTTCACTGACAAAGAGACTTGTTGTAATGAATGTTGTAATGAATTCAGTTTTTAATCACAGTAATAAATTATAATAGAACACCTGATTAGTCTGACAGTGCTGGTCCGTTTGGAAAAGCTTTTCTTTTTCTTTTTCTTTTATATAAATACTTTAAACAACAACCAATCTATTTATGTAAGACTTTATGTAAGAAGTCTTTTCTCATGAATGTTGGAAATACTGTTATTTTGTTGACATGCTCTGTAACACACGTGTGACTCTATGTGAGGTTTCTAAAAAAAAATTCCCCTATTAGTTTTTTCTTACTCTTGTTGAGGTTTAAGGGCAGATAATGGCACCTTGTTTAGCCCTATGAGACAAATTGTGATCTGTGAATATGGGCTATACATATACAATTTGATTTGACTTTGTTTCCAAGTCTGCTAACCTGCCATTAGCAAATGACATTAAGACAGACCAATCACATGAATTTATTGTGACAAATGAACTCTCTACTCTGATATTAGGCATTTTTTGCTACTTTTGTCTTCATATGTGCATAAGCTTTCAGTTAAAGCAATAAACTCAGTACTACAAGACTAAAAGATCTAATATAGTCAAAAACAGTGAACAGGGGATGCATTTCTGTTATTACTTTGAACTACATTTAGTGTCTGCATACACAGTTGTACAATCAGTTTGACATTTATTGGGAGCAACCAGCTAGAACTAACATCTAATCCTCTAAAATGTGTTACCCAATGTGTTGTAGGATGGAGTTTGTCGTGCTGTCAAATTGAATTGTGTATAACAGAGTTGTTTCTCCACAGTTGAATCAACAACTCTATAAAAAAAAGTTTCCAGACAAACTGAACATTTAAATCTTCATTAAGAAGGAGTTATTACTGTTCTTCTGATTTAGACTGGACTAGGTTTAGCTGGTGTTCCTAATAAATTGCCAGATGAGTGAATATGTATATTGGCACAGACTGTTCATGCAGACCCTCTTTGACTTTCTGTCAGCAGATGAAGGGCTTGATTCTGCTGGCAATATTACGTAATTTTACTTGATTTACTATTTTTTATGCAGTAGGGAAATATTATTTTGAAGCGAGAGAGGGAGCAAGCAAGAGAAACAACAGAGACAGAGGCCTGCAGTAACACAACAGTGTGGTACAGCAGTACATGCAAAACTGGCTAGCACAAACAGGGAAACTCCCTGTTTGTCTGTTCTACCAGGTCACTCATGTGAAACTTTGAAGCCAGAGTATGGGAGGAGCAGAGAGTATCATTTTGAAATGTTCTTGTTCTGTCCTAAAGAAAATTTGCATGTCCAAACTTTGTCAGAGCAGACTTCTCAGTCAAAGAAACTGGAGCCTGCGCTTCTGCTGAATATTTCTCAGACTGAACATAAACAAAGTCAGTCAGAGTGAGTAGCAGCAGTCATAGTAGCCTATCATTCGGTGGAGATCCAGATGATAGTTGACAAGAGAACAGAGGCTCAGAGTGGATGGACTGATTCCAAGCAGGTTGCTATTCTTATAGCCAGTGGATGATGTGTCTTGTTTAGTTCCAAACAAGTTAACATAACTTACAGTATGTCGACAGAGTCACTGAATCCATTGCAAACCCAACAGTTATTCTTTTCTTCAATCATCAGATCCAAATAAAGCCAAACTGCCTTAGTTTTGGAACAAAGCAAATTGGAACAAAGAATAAAGCCAGTCTTTGGGTAAAAATAAACTATTCTCATGCTGGCTGGACTTCTCTGTTATGTGGATCCCTGCAGACAGTGTGTGAACCTGGCTGGGTCACATGGCTCGATGATACAGCAGCCGTGAGATGGTGGGTTCAGGTACAGAGCTGTTATGGTGGAGTTTATGATAACAGTGACGGGATAGTGGTGGTGTGACATGTCAGTTTTCAGCCAGTGACAGTGCTAGAGCTGCCCGCAGTGCTGCCTCTTCATCAATGCTGTAGTCCTAAGGAAAGGCAAAAACAAAAGCTGCTAGTCAATGCAAACCATATGATGCAACCTTCATCTAATACATTCAAATATACCATCTTATTTAGGGAGGCTGCTCAAAATCCATCAGTTTGTGTGAATAATCATGTAAACAATCTAAGATTATTAATTATAGTCAGTGAAGCCCAGATCTAGGGCTGGGCAATAAAATGATTGCGATAATTATCTGCTGGGTGACTGTCCGGAGGGGGCATTGTGCTACCTCAAAGCCCACAATTAAGGACACACCAGTTCATGTTTCAAACAGATTTTCTCCACGCAACGACACACCGGTTGAGAAGCAAACTCTGGTCATTGGCAACTCGGTCTTGAGAAACGTGACGTTAGCGACACCAGCAGCCATAGTCAGGGGCCAGAGCAGCCGACATCGAGTCCAAACTGAAGATGCTGGTTAGAGCCAAATGTAAATATATTAAGATCGTACTTCACGTCAGCAGCACCAACTCCCGGCTTCGTATGTCAGAGGTCATTTAAGTTAATGTGGAGTCTGTGAGTGCTTCTGCAAAAATGACTCTAGTTTTCTCTGGACCTCTTCCTAATACAACCGCCGATGACATGTTTAGCCGCATGTTGTCATTTAACCTCTGGCTGTTGAGGTGGTGTCCTGCAAACGGTGTGGGCTTTGTAGACAATTGCCACACTTTTTGAAGAAAACCTGGTCTTGTAAGGAGAGACAGCGTTCATCCCACTTGGGATGGAGCAGCTCTCTTATTATTGTCGGTGACTTTAATATTCATGTAGACAATAATAATGATAGCCTTAGTGTTGCATTCATTTCAGTATTAGTCTCAATTGGCTTCTCATGTTCTACATGTCTACCTGATAGTGCTGTAGCTACATTTAAGGAAATAATTCCAAATACATTTAACTCTGTATTATCTGTAGTAAATTAGCTCTCTGGTATAATTCCAACGCACATGAATTAAAACAAGCTGCTTACTACTCCACATTAATAGAAGAAAATAAAAAACAACCCCAGGTTTCTCTTCAGCACTGTAGCCAGGCTGACGGAGTCAGACCTCCATCCAACCCAGTATTCATCCATCCCAGAATAGCAATATCTTTATGACCTTCTTTAATGATACAATTCTAACTATTAGAAATAAAATCTACAATCTCCTGCCCTCAGTTGACACTGATACACCATCTAGCACAGAAACCTCAGAAACAGCTGAGAATCCTACCAACTATTTAGACAGCTTCTCTCTGATCACCCTTGATCAGCTGACCACAATAATCTTATCATCTAAACCCACAACTCTTATATGCCATTCCTACAAAGTTACTTACCAGTCAGGAATTTGGGAGTCATCTTTGATAAGATAAGATAAGTTAAGATAGACTTTATTCATCCCACACTGGGGAAATTTGGACATTACAGCAGCAGAAGGGCATTAAGATAGAGAAAAATTTAAATAAAATTTAAATAACAAATAAGAAAATAAGAATAAAAATATACATATAAAGAAGAATGTAAACACAAGGATACCGGAAATTCACAGTGATATTGCGCATGGGAAGTGGAAATATACATTGTATG